GTGAACTTTGAGGTCATGCTGTGCGACTTTGAAAGCCGTTAGAGAGATGAGTGGACGCATTTGAATTAGTAGTATACCAAGGTATCCAGTGATGTAATTTTACCCACAAACGAACTTGAAGTTTTTAAGCTAATTTTTTTTAAACCACTTTTGTCCAAAAAAGCATATTTTTGACCCAAAATCAAAAACGCATTCTGGATATTTAAAATAAAGACAAGTTTTACAAAGTTTGTATAATAAGCTTTCAGAAATTATATAACATGTTGGATATATAATACCATCTTCATTGTCTAATTACTCAATTAAAAAGCAAGCCAAATAAACTGCATCTCTACCTTAATTCAACCCGTCAAAAATGAACCCTTGATTCAACCTGTCTAAAATTATACCTTGATTCAACCTGTCTAAATAGCCATACATCCAGCATTACTTCTGTACATTAAGTACTACCGTGAAATCTGTATTAGAAGGTGAATCCCTAATAGAAGCCGCACACATTGTTTTTGAACAATTTATACCCACAAATTCACCACGTGTAGATGCTCTAATAGAAGCCGCATCCCCTCTGTTGCATTGTACCATTTTAATAGAAGCCGCGGCTTTTAATACAGAATTTACAGTAATAATGAAGCACACACCATGTCAATAAAATTCACCCTCAAATAAAAAAATTTAAGTATTGATAAAATATATGAATAAAAAATATTATAAAATTATTTTGCGAAAGATGACAAAAGGTGACTTGGCATTCAAAATCCTAAGAACCTTATTGTTAATTACTTGTGACATTAAAGCAACTTAGTAACTATGGTAACTAAGTACATTATATATGTAAGAAAACATGATGCGTCTCGTATTATCTATGTACCATGTTTATCAGAAGAAAATTTGTATAAATCTGTCAGTGGGAGTATTTATTGCGAGATGCTAAAGCTAATAACGTAATGTTCTGTTTATAATCCTGACTACCGGTAGTTATAATATGATTTAATTGACAAATCTTTTTATGCAGTAATACTGATCAGCAAGAAAATTACATTGTACATGTTGTATATTTAATTTGTTTGTTATTACGGTACATGACATTATTATGATGAATGCTTTGTTATGGGGAGGTAAAATTTGAAGGGGAATGGTGGAGGGGCACTTTGTTTTCACCATGGAGGTAAAAGACAGATTCTCTTCTTTTTACCTCCATGGTTTTACCATATTTATGATACAGGGCTTGCAAATAATAGAAATTACACACTACATTTTGTATATGGCTTGAGGTGTCTAGACTGCCAATTCAAAAATTGTTGTTTTTTTTCAAATTTTGTTCAAGACTTTCAGGCATTAGAAAATTATGTTCATCTGGTCCATAATCAACTATGAAATTATCATAAATACATAAAAAATGGCAAAATAATTTTGGTAAAGATAGAGCATTTAAAGGGTTTACTAGATATGTATAATTACTGTCACAATTAGTGATTGTCAACCATTGTAAGGTAGCATGGTTTTTGTTTAAGGTGATAATCAGGTCCTCAATATTGCTGAATTTCCTTTCCAAATTTGTTTAATGTATAGTTATCTGTATTGAATTTTATCTGATCACGTTACCTCCGTTCCCTACCCCTCTTAAATTGTCCGACCTTTTTAGCACAATTTTACGGTAAGTCAGTACCAGCCACACCCATCTAGAGTGAGACATTGACATAATGCAAATTATGTCTGAAAACCTGGTGACCATATTTTATGTATATTAGCTTGTAATATACTGTGAAATACTTTATTTTAGCTGGAATTAATTTTCTGAAAAGGCATTTTGGGTGTTTTGTATGGAATTTATTTTCACTGATTTTTGACGAGTTGAATGTGAAATATAGGGAAAAAAGTATATTCCTGGATTTTATTTTCAAGGAATCATCCTTTCAGCAAAAATAGCGAAAATAAATTCCAAGCGAAAATAAAGTATTCTATAGTAACCTTATGCTTTATGTGGATCATTTGTTATGTCCTTTGGTTGGCAAGGCATAAAAATGAAGAATAAATAGGATACATGTACATTTGTATGTAACTAAAGCATAGCGCATGTAATATAATTATGGAGTACTACCGATATGATTAATAGGAGTGAAATTATGATGCTTTTTGCTCATTATTTTGTTATGATATGATACAACCCTATTAAGCTTATTTATAATTCCAATATTACTAATTATAAAAAAAATAATAAAGATCTATAGAATGGTTTTGTAGATGTTTTATGTATTTGCATGTATAATTATATAATTGATGGCCTGTTTTTATAGAAAGAAAAATTTCAAGTTTTTTATTTTCAGGCTTGTAATCAACTAGTTAAAAACCTTAACAATCTTGTGCTGGAAATGTTATGCGAGTTAATTTTAGAAATTATTCGATTTAATTTAATTTGGAATTATTGAGCATATTTGTGCCTTTCATCTCATGTAGCAGATTTCACAGTTATGCTATTAACAAGTACATTATTTTAATTAACAATATGCATAATTGCTTAAATCTAATCAGGTTGTACATTATTTGATGAAATCAATGCATATTATTGTTACCATGGAATAGAAGCCATTGTGATAGAACAAACTAAGAAGATAAGTGCTAGTTATAATGACTATATTATCAAAAAAAATTTACTGACCTTGGTTAGCGAAGAGAGCAAATGATTGACAATATAATTTAATAATACATTGAAAACATATTTTGTCATTTTTGAAATTTCTGATGTGCTTCTACAATAGTGAAATTTCGAAAATGTTTCTAGACATTAGAATGATAAAAAAATATTTGTCATTTCAACATAATTAATAATAAATGCTTATATGCACTGCCCTTCATTGCTTTCAGGTTTGTATGCGTCTGTACAGAGTGGATTATGTCCATCTGTGACCCAGCACAACACAGCTGATAGCAACTCACTGTGTTTATTCTTGTTGCCAACAAAGCCCTCCCATTCTCCCATTAATGGTTTTTTGAATTTTATTATAATTCTACATTTCAGACAAATCTGTTTTTAGTGCCACATAACACTCAACAAGTTTTCTTTTGATGTTGGGGTTATGTTTTTCAATGGCCCTGCGAAGTCATTCACTTGTCTGTAGACATGCCTGGAAGCAGATATTAGGGTTTTCTATTTTGAGTTTCATAGAAGTTTGATCAGTTCTCAGCGTTCCCGTTTTTTCATGTGTTACATGTGCACAGTGCAAACTCAATCTTTTATAAACAGGAAGTGTGTCTAAAATGAATTCTTGATTCAACCCTTCTAAAATGAACCCTTGATTCAACCAGTCAAATGTACTCTTAATTAACCTGTCTAAAACGAAACCTTCATTCAAGCTGTCTAAAATGAACCCTTGATTCAACCGTCACAAATGAACCCTTTATTCAACCACTGTCTAAAATGAACCCTTTATTCAACCACTGTCTAAAATGAACCCTTGATTCAACCCGTCTAAAATGAACCTCTGATTCAACCTGTCTAAAATGAACCCTTGATTCAACCCGTCAAAAATGAATCCTTGATTCAACCTGTCTAAAATAAACCCTTAATTCAACCCATCAGAAATGAACCCTTGATTCAACCACTGTCTACAATGAACCCTTAATTCAACCCATCAAAAATGAACCCTTGATTCAACCTGTCTAAAATAAAACCTTGATTCAACTTGTCTAAAATGAACCCTTGATTCAACCTGTCTAAAATGAACCCTTGATTCAACCTGTCTAAAATGAACCCTTGATTCAACCTGTCTAAAATGAACCCTTGATTCAACCTATCTAAAATGAACCCTTGATTCAACCTGTCTAAAATGAACCCTTGATTCAACCTGTCAAAATGAACCCTTAATTCAACCTGTCTAAAATGAACTCTTGATTCCCTGTCAAAATGAACCCTTGATTCAACCTATCTAAAATGAACCCTTGATTCAACCTGTCAAAATGAACCCTTGATTCAACCTGTCAAAAATGAACCCTTAATTCAACCTGTCTAAAATGAACTCTTGATTCAACCTGTCAAAAATGAACCCTTGATTCAACCTGTCAAAAATGAACCCTTGATTCAACCTGTCAAAAATGAACCCTTAATTCAACCTGTCTAAAATGAACCGTTGATTCAACCTGTCTAAAATGAACCGTTGATTCAACCTGTCTAAAATGAACCGTTGATTCAACCTGTCTAAAATGAATCGTTGATTCAACCTGTCTAAAATAAACCCTTGATTCAACCTGTCTAAAATAAAACCTTGATTCAACCTGTCAAAAATAAACCCAAAATTATGGACTGTAATCAATAACACTTGTGAAATGAATTATGTGTATAAACTGGAAAACTGTTCAAAACCAAAAAAACAAACTTCATAAACCTGTCTAACTGAACAATCCTGTCTGAGCTGTCTCATCAGGTTTACATATGTACTAGTACTTGACATAACAGACCCATACATGTATACGTATGTATTGGTATGTTATATAAATGGATCAACTTTCGCTTTGGTGTGTTACAATGTATATGCATTTCTGAAGTCTAGTCAGATTCAACCCCCGATTGAGAAAACAAAAACAATCTATGGTATTGTTCACATTGTGTACAATAACTGCAAATGACTATTAGTGTTTAATAGTAGCATAATTGCTCTAGTAGAAACATGCATGAACCTCAAAAGGTTTATTGTCTGCTTGATATAATATTGTAAAAGTTATATTGACCATGGACACACCTCTGCAAATATGGTACTTGTGGTTGGAACAAAATTATGCAGTTGAGAACTTGGTTTTAAAATGTGCAATAAAATCTATTACTGCTATTATGCATCTAGCTCCAAAAACAATAGAACTTACCATTCCCTAAAACGCTGTATAAGCACATGTTCCAAAGAGTATCAGCACTAATTTGTTTTAATTTTTCTAAATATGAGGTGAACTTATCACCAACATTGAGACGTGTTTCAGGTTGTTGGTGTCATATTTTAATACTTTCCTTTATTTACATTGGATGTGGAACGATGGAAATACATACTCTCGCAAACGTTCGCACAGCATAAAATGTTTCCTGTAATATCTGAATAAATTATTACTACATTGTACAAGTAGAAAAAGATGTATAATAATGTATACCTGGTTGTGATAACAAAATATTAATCTTTTCACCACCGGTTTCTTCTTTTCATCACAAATTCGCAAAATAGTCCCATTTATAGTCCACACATTCCTTCACAAGATTAGGACAAAAATAGCCAATTTTTTTGAATAAAAACTGAAAATCGAATTGAGTTTTGTCTGTTGGCTCCAAAATTAGAGTTCATTTCCAAAAATACTTAAGAATATATGAAAAAAGTGGAGAAAAATTTGGGCGAGAGTTTGGTGGTGAAATGGTTAAAAATAAATCAAGAGGCTGTAACATTTCTAAGATGCCGTGAGCTGATCATACCAAAGTAACTTGAGTGCATACTCTCTATTGGAAGCTCATATACATATGTTTTGGATGTGTTTATATTACAGCTATTTTTTATGCCATTTTCTTTTCATATTTATTTGCTTTTTAATCTCTTTATTCACAAATAAAAATGGAAATTGTTTAATGTCAGTATTACACAAGTTTGTCACAGTGTTATTATTGTTATTGTTGTTTGCAATGCTATCTGCAATTTACCACCCCACTGGTTATACTGGAGTTTTCCAGTTTTAGTTAAAACACTGTTAGTTGTTCCATTTGACTGAAAATAAATTGCCTTGTCAGCATATCTGTAGTTCTACATTCTGTAATAGTGCAAATACTGACATCAAAGCAAGATTTATTTATTACTTGTCCAATATTTTGTGTACCACCTTTATTTAGAAATACTTCTCCAATAAAGGCTCACCATGGAAATGTCTTTGTTATTTATGTAAGCACATTCACTAATATCGTATCTGTAATTATTTTTTGTGGACCCTGGAGCAATAGATCATTTTTCGTTCACTGCGAGAAATCGAATGTAAAAACAGGACAAACAAAGGTCATAGCGTCGTAGTGGCATCAAACATCGCGTGGGATT